TCTTTGCTGTGTTCTGATGTTAAAATGATGCCACTATTGTTGTTGTGTAGATGATTTAAAAAAAGTTTAAGTGAGGTTTCAGGACCTTTCCAGATAAAAAAACAAGTCGTTTGTGTATCTAAAATAGGATACTAGGTTTGCTTTCCAGGGGTGATCTCCCCAGATTGCTTTAGACTCCCAATTGTACATAAAAAGATTGGCATAACTTGGTGCAAACCTAGTACCCATAGCTGTGCCTTGTCTTTGAATGTAAAAAGTGTCTAAAAACCAAAAATAGTTATTTGTTAAAATAATTTTTATCCCTTCTAAAATAAAATTAATTAGTTTTTCTGCAATTTTATTATCCGTTTTTAATCTATTTAAAACTGCTTCACACCCTAATTTGTGGGGGATTATGGTGTACAAAGACTGGACATCACAAGTGACTAAATCTGGATGCCAGGTAAAATTTTCTAAAAAACGTAAGAGAGACATGGAATCTTTTAAGTATGACCTCATAAGTCTGACTGATGGTTGTAGTAAAATGTCAATATACTCTGATAAGTTTGATAAAACAGAATTGATCCCGGAGACAATAGGTCTACCTTGTGGATTGGTCTCATTCTTGTGTATCTTTGGTAAAAAGTATATAACTGGAATTTTTGGATGAGGTATATTTAAATAAGCAAATTCTTTTTTGTTGAGGATATTGGAATTTAAGCCTTTGGTTAAAAATGATATAAGGGACTTTTGGATGGTATGGGTTGGGTCTGATAGTAGCTTGTCATATACTTTGGGGTCATTAAGCTGTCTAAATGCTTCTTTGATGTACATTTCTTGTGAGAGTATAACTAGGCCGCCCCCTTTATCGGCTGGTTTGATGAATATTGTGTCATCTTTTTTAAGATCTGTGAGAGCTTTTCTTTCTTGAAAGGTTAAGTTATATTGGTTATATTTATGATATTTGTGGTTGTTTTTTTTGGAGGTATTAATTTTTTCTAAGTCTTGCTTTACCAAATTCTCAAAAACTTCTATCGGGCCAGATTTGAAACTTGATCGGTAAAAATTAGAGTTATTCTTAAGGGTGGTGTTTTTCACTTGTATCTCGTCATTAATACATGGAGGTGTGGGGGAATAGTTGGTCTGTCCCTGGTTAATAGATTGATTCTCAATTCTGCTGCTAAAAAATCTTTTTAGTGTAGCTTTCCTAACAAACTTATTTAAATCTAAAAAGGCTTGGAATGGTTGATAGGGATTGGTAGGTGCAAATTTGAGGCCCAGTTAAAACTGATATTTGGGTAGTAGTTAAAATTTTTTGGGAAAGGTTAAAAATTCCATGAGGGTTGTCTGTATTAGTTAGTGTCTCTCTAGTCTTTCTCTTTTGAAATCTTCTGCCACTTCTCCTTCCTCTAGATTTCTCTTTTTTGTTCTGGGTAGGTAAGGTGTGGCAGTAAGTGGATTTGGCCCTAGTTCTAAAAAATGATCCTCAGTATCTGTGTCCAAATCTGTAGATAACACTTGGTATCTGTTAGGATGGTGTGTGGAGGGTAGGTGAGGGGGTGTGCTGGGATGGGTGTGTTTGAATGTATGTCTGAATCTTTGAGGTCTGGGTGTGAGATCAGGTCTTTGTGGGATAGTCATGAGTGGGACAGGTTTGGTGGGCCTGGGTTTAGGATAGTTGGAATAGGAGGGTGAAATGGTTGGGGGTGAGATGTGTTGGGAAGAGCTGTGATACTTCTGTGGTGGTGGTTGGTGGTAGTTGTGGTGCCTTTGGTGGTAGGGGACGTGAGGAGGTTGTCTGTGATGGATGTAGCGTGGGTGGGGTCTGCTGGGGTAATGTGTAGGCGCATGAGGAGGATAATCTGAATAACAGGAGTGATGGCGAGTGTGGGAGACAATAGGTCTTCTGGGATCTTGTTGGTTAGGGATGGTGGAGGGGTGATTGAAGGTCTGAGATGTGTATTTGGACTTATTGTTGAGATGGTAAGTCCTTACTTGGTTCTTTGTGTAGTCATGTTTATCTCGGATATATTTTTTTACTTTAATGTGTTTAGTGTCCATCTCTACTTTTTCTATTTTGTTTTGAATGATAATAGAATTTTGTTTGAATACTTGTGTCTCTGTGAATGGTAAAAGTTTGTCCTGAAGTTTTTTTATTTCAGCGTCTAATAATGATAATTTCTTACTCTTTTTTAGAATTAAAGTTTCCATAAGACCGAAAGTGCATGACTCGAGCTTGTTGTTCCACTCTTTTTGGCGCCATTTTCTAATATGTTCACTGCCTATATAAACCTGTATGTAACAGGATGTACTTTCTGATCTCCACTTGATAAAGCCTAAGGGCGAAACGCGTTGTGGTTTTTAAAACTATATTGTTTTAAATAAAGGTATTTTGGCCACTTTCTTACTGTGAGTTAGCCATCTTACTTTTTATTACTATTATTATTTTACTTTTTTATTACTACCATCCTTTTATCCGGCACAGAAGTGTTTTTACTTTCCAGTGAGGATATTACTCCCAAGAATCCTAGGTGGGGATTATACCACTCAAGCTGTATTCATTGAACAGTCAGTCTGTTCAACTAAATGTGAGTAACCACTTGGCTTTTTATCTTCTCACCTCTGGCATTTTATACTTTGAGCACCATTGTTGTTCCTGCTTTTATTTCCACATATGGTTCCCTAATCAAGAAAGAATACTAAGACCTCACGTATCCCATAAGTGGGGATTATACCACTGTACGTTATCAACACTAGAGCTAAGTCCATAGCTCTTGAAAACGTGAGTAGGACCATATACTCTTTTATTGCTTCTACCCCTTTCGGGACATACTATACCATCAGTTGTTATTTTCTCATTTCATATGATGTACAAAGACGCATCTACACCACTCTGAAGAATCCCCCACTACAAAAGACTGTATTCACCTCTACAAAGATATTTGTTTGATTCATCTACCAGTCAGACTATTTATTCTGGACTTCTATTTGCTTATTATCTATCATATAAATTGCATTCTAGTCTGCCTATTCTGTGCTCTTTTAATTTATGTGGTTTATAGTGGCGCTGCCTTCCTTTCTTTTTTCTGTAACACTCCTGCAGTAGTAGGAAGCTCAGTAACCCTTTCAGTGTCCGTCTCTGGCTGGAAAACATGGCTGTCAGCCTCCACAAGGTCAGCAATAAGTTGTGCCTTATTTTTGCCAAAAGTTGGTAAATCCTTTTCTTGGCATAACAATTCCAAGGCCTCTTTTGATTGTTTGCGATAGGCCTCCATATTCACAATAGGATAGAGAAAGAAAAACAAGAGATGGGAGGGGAGAACTGTTTTGCACTTTGTATGTATTTTAAATCAGCACCTAGCTTGGTCTTTGGATATTACACAAAAACAAGTATGCAATTTCTTTTAGTGCTAAGACTCCCTTTACAGGTAAAATCTAGCAAGCACTAAAAATCTCTAAATATATCCCACCAGCTTCCCCCAGTTTGTCACGAGCGTGGGTTATAGGCCCAGCCGAGACAGTGGGGAGAGTGTGGAAGTGACAGGGTTAATGACACCAGACCCCTGGTTACCTGTTGCTAGTCCCAGCAACCACTCAATTAACCCCTGCAATCCCTTCTACACTAACCCCCTAAGTACACACTTACTGCCACCACCAAGACTTTAAACCCGGGCGTCTTAGGTTACCCCACACACAGGAGAATTATAGAATCACAGTTCTACTTTTACTGATCAAACATATAGTTAAACCTTTTTGGTAACGTGTTTACCTGAGCTTTCCTCTGGAGAGTGAAGCTCATAGAGAACAGAGACACAAGCTGATTAAGTAAACATTTAATCTGACAAAAAAGATTCACAGTGCTGAATACAGAAATAAATGACATACAGATAGCAAATTGCAAAACAGTACATAAAATAAAATAGGAGAAAACACAAGAAATTCCTTACATGTAGTGTAACGGACCGTTTGGCTCACAAGGGGTAAAAACCGTTTAGGCGATCGGCCCCCTTTCCAGAGATACAGGCACAGCTACTGCAGAACACCAAACTCCCGAACTGGATACAAAATAGCACTCCAACTCCCGAACTGGAACCTCCCAAATAGCTGCTAGCAGATGAACAGGAAAAGCAGACAATCAGCTTACACTCCTGGCAATCAGTCTCTAACAGCATACAGTGAATCCCCCCAAGAACGAGACAAGGCTCCGTGTTGAGGGTCAAGCAGTGGTCTGAGGTGCTGGCACACCCAGCCTGGTTTTTATTACAGTCTTGCAAATACAGGACTGCCCACAGGGAGGTATAAAATATCCAGTAACATATTAGTTACAACCCACAGATTCCCTCCCCCTTATCCTGAGAGGTAACCCAATTGCACATACTTTTTACCACAATGCATCCTGGCTTCCTCTCCTCTGCCCAGGAGATAATTGAGAAGTAATTAAATTATCTCCCAGGACAGAGACAAGACTCCATTATGCACATGGTTAGCACAAAGCATTAAAATACTGTACAATACACAAAGTCCCATTTTATACATAAAACACAGACATGCCAGTTTCATATGAATGGGCTCCATGGGATTCCTATCTGGGGTATAACACATTCAAACAAATCTACCGAACCCCAGGCAGAAAAGCACGAATGAAGCTTTTCTGCGCCGTTGTAAATATCTTTTAACAAGGGGGCCATAGTCCAAAGGCAGCAGGCGAGCAACCAGGCTTCTCCAATGCAATGTAGCGAGATTGGTCTCGTCACATCTCTCCCCTTTTCCAAACAGACTAACAGGGTATCTGACCTCCTGCCGGTCAGTGCCCTTGTTAGTCCAGCAGCCCACCCACAAGACATAATCAACAGCACAGCCCACCCACAATAAATGGTTACTGCACCTGGGTAGAGGAGAAGCTTGTCCATGTCCAGGTGCCTCACCACGGCTGTGCTGGGTACGGGTACGCTGACTTGGTGGGGTGCTGCATGGGCAGAGACCAGCGGCACTCTGCACTGTTGCCAGCGCTACTGGGAGGATAGCCTGGTTGAAGCCTGGTTGTTGGAGGGGGAGACCGACTGTCTCCCCTTTAGATACACAGTCCTGCTGCTGGAGACCGACTGTCTCCCCTTTGGACACACAGCTCTGCTGCTGGAGACCGACTGTCTCCCCTTTGGCTAAACAGCCCTGTCGCTGGGGGGCAGAACCGACCGTCCCTACCCCCTGTGCTGTATGTGCAGAGACCACGGTCCCATCTGCACAGTTGTGGGGCTTACTGTCTCCCCCTGGTACATTAAGCTGCCGCTGGGGAGAGTGGGTAACAAGCTCCTCTCCCATACATACTTCCAGCTGCGGGGGAGGGAGACCGACTGTCTCTGCTCCCAATACAGAGTCCTGCTGCTGGGGAAAGGGGACTGGGCTCTCTATTCCCGGTAGGACACTCTGCCGCTGGGGAATGGAGACTGGGCTCCCAATTCCCAAAGCATCATACTGCCGCTGGGGAATGGAGACTGGGCTCCCAATTCCCAAAAAATCACGCTGCAGCTGGGGAGGGAGGACACTGCTCTCCTCTCCCTGGACTTCACACTGCCTTCCCGGCATATCACTTGGCTGCTGGGGGGCAGGAACAACTACCTCTGCCCCCTGTAACTCAGCCTGTCACTGGGGAGGGAGGACACTGCTCTCCTCTCCCTGCACTTCACACTGCCTTCCCGGCATATCACTCTGCTGCTGGGGGGCAGGAACAACTACCTCTGCCCCTGTAACTCAGCCTGCGGCTGGGGAGGGAGGACGCTGCTCTCCTCTCCCTGCACTTCACACTGCCTTCCCGGCATATCACTCTGCTGCTGGGGGGCAGGAACAACTACCTCTGCCCCCTGTAACTCAGCCTGCCGCTGGGGAGGGAGGACGCTGCTCTCCTCTCCCTGCACTTTACACTGCAGCTGGGGAATGGAGACTGGGCTCCCAATTCCCTGTAATTCACACTGCCACTGGGGAATGGAGACTGGGCTCCCAATTCCCTGCAGTACCTGCCGCTGGAGTTCCTCCCAACGTGCCAACTGACCTTCTCTTTCTGCCCGTTGTTGCAGCCTCTTGAACACTAGGTTCCTCATGAACCGCACCGATCTCTCCAGTGGGTTGGATCCGAAGAAGCTTAGGTGAAACCACACCATCCGGTCATACTCTCTCATAGAGTAGCTGTACTCCACTGCTGGTTCCATCCTGGTGCTGTCAGGGTCGCTGTACTAGGACATGTGTTGCCCTTAACTTGTAAATCCAAAGAAATGGTGTCTCCTGTAGCTGTCCTTCTGGCTGTAGGAATGATCCCGCCGCTGCCACCAATTGTAACGGACCGTTGTGCTCACAAGGGGTAAAAACCGTTTAGGCGATCGGCCCCCTTTCCAGAGATCCAGGCACAGCTACTGCAGAACACCAAAACTCACGAACTGGATACAAAATAGCACTCCAACTCCCGAACTGGAACCTCCCAAATAGCTGCTAGCAGACGAACAGGAAAAGCAGACGAACAGCTTACACTCCTGGCAATCAGTCTCTAACAGCATACAGTGAATCCCCCCAAGAACGAGACAAGGCTCCGTGTTGTGGGTCAAGCAGTGGTCTGAGGTGCTGGCACACCCAGCCTGGTTTTTATTACAGTCTTGCAAATACAGGACCGCCCACAGGGAGGTATAAAATATCCAGTAACATATTAGTTACAACCCACAGATTCCATCCCCCTTATCCTGAGAGGTAACCCAATTGCACATACTTTTTACCACAATGCATCCTGGCTTCCTCTCCTCTGCCCAGGAGATAATTGAGAAGTAATTAAATTATCTCCCAGGACAGAGACAAGACTCCATTATGCACATGGTTAGAACAAAGCATTAAAATACTGTACAATACACAAAGTCCCATTTTATACATAAAACACAGACATGTCAGTTTCATATGAATGGGCTCCATGGGATTCCTATCTGGGGTATAACACATTCAAACAAATCTACCGAACCCCAGGCAGAAAAGCACGAATGAAGCTTTTCTGCAGGTAAAAAAGATGTCTTTTAACAGGGGGCCATAGTCCAAAGGCAGCAGGCGAGCAACCAGGCTTCTCCAATGCAATGTGGCGAGATTGGTCTCGTCACATGTAGTTACCCCATATATAACTCTTGTGGGAGTCTTAGATGGTATAGATCTCCTAGAAGTTGCTGACCAAAGGCAAAATGAAGAACTCCCCGGATAGTCCAGCACCCTCATTAATATATCTAAACTAGTTGTTTCTCAGTGGGCAGACCCATGGGGGGTGGGATCAGAAGGGGTTGGTCTGGCAGTTTATTGCCCAATCTATGCAATTCCTTGTGTCCAGCTCTGGTGATGGCTATCTAGATATTTTATGGTCTAGGCCTGGTGCCAGATCAAAGACCACAATAAATGTCATCCCAAGGTTTACAAAAAAACAACTCTTAACATATATCAATACATCAAACACCAACTCATGCTTTTGGCATGACACCTTCCCTATCAACCGATTCATCAGATAACTAATCTTGGATCTATTGGAAGGAAAGGAGCAGGGAGTGGACTCAATTTGGTTTAGAAAACCATGACATTGCTGAGCATTACCACCAAAATGAGGGGGTGGTGAAAGGGATATAGACCAAGCCTTGTATACTATGGGTACAACAGCAACAGGAGGGGCTGAAAGAGGTTGTTGATCCTCCGGTTGGAGGGGAGCAGTAAGGGCCAACAATGTCTAAAAGGCCTGGGCGAATTGATCCATACAGTGATCATTATCTTCCAGCCTTCTTTCGCAAGCCAACATGTGTTGACTTAACTCTGCAGGGTTCATAGCCCTGTCGTAATGTCAGGAAGAACCAGTGGCCCAATACACAGAATTAAGTAAAACACGTGAAAAGACAAACCGTAACAACGTGTTACCAGGCCATAGAATGGCCAGATTTAACGTAATAGAATAAACAGTCACGAGCCGAGGTCAGGAATACAGAAAGGAATAAAAATGATAAGAGCAAAGCCAAAGGGTTAGAGATACCAAAAATACAGGAAGTCAAGCCAAGCCAAGATCAATAGCCAATAAACAGTATCAGGAACGTGCTTTTGGATAACCAACAGGATGGAAACCACCACAGAGCACTGAACCATTGCAGGTTTGGGTTTAAATAACCCATTTAACCCTGCTAATGGCTGTTTTGGGTCCCACTAGTGACGTCATTGTGGGCGCCGCTATTATAAAGCGCTGCCTTGCAGCACCCGGTGTCCTTCCTAATGATGCACCCTGTCGCTGTATTGAGAACTGCATGAAGGGAGAGGCTCTGGATGTAAGGTGAGTAACATCTCCCTCCTTTAGTGTGACCGCACCAATCAGATGTAGTCACATCGTTGAGCCGATCGGGCACTGCGATAGTGTGAGAGCACCTATCTGGTGCGGTCACACTGTGGTTCCAATTAGGCACCTTGACAAGGTGTTAGGGTTAGGGTTCGATTCCTGTCTTCATTCCCTTAATTTTCACCCCATCTCCTGTTTTTCCACTTCGCTGGTCCAGGTAAGTCCAGGGCTCCTATTTGCCACTTAATTTTTTTTGTCAGACGTACCTAGTACGTCCATGGTTGTTAAGGGGATATATGTATTTATAACGTCATTCTAAATGTATTTTGATTTAAATATATATGTATATTAATATCAAAATACAGTTAGAACAAAAGTAATTTTGTTTTCATTTTTCTAAATGTTTTTATCTATTTAGATTTTATATATAGATATATAAAATTAACGTTATTCTTAGTGTATTTTTATTTTTATATATATATACATATATTTGAAGGCTTGGCCTGGAGTTGTGGGAGGGGCTTGGTTCACCTTTAAAAGGGCTGCCAATCCGCTCCCACCTTACCGTTGCTGGTCT